TGACATAAACATAAAAAGTAATACAAATTAAATCAATATTTGGTGCACCTACTCTTTGCCTTTAAAGGCTAAGTTCACCTTTTGTAACATGTTATATCCGCATCTGAGTAACTGTCTGCCTATATGGAGATAAAGGAAGACCGTTCTCAGCAGTGTCTGCAGGAGCCTGATATTGCACATACAATCCACTAATTGAGGGTGCAGTGCTCTGCAGGCTCAACTGTAAAAAGATATGCATCTCTTATTTTTTTAATGGTGAACTTCAATTTTTAAGGAACTTAATAGGTAGGTTGTTCCAAGAATCTAGGAGAACGAAGTACAGTTCTGTATGGATTTAGGCCATCTCTATTGCTCCTTGGAAGACAGAGATTCAGTGAGGGTAATAATAAGCTTGGTGGAGGCCATATCATCATTTCCAAGACTCCTTTGTTTTTTACACATTTAGTCATTATGCCCAGATGCAGCTTTTCTGAAAGACCCAGTCACTGTGGGGAGCCCCTCAACAAATTACTATAAGCCTGTTCAGTTCTATTAGGGTGCAACTTTGTCCTTGGGGCTTGGATCACTTCTGATGTTACAAGAGCTGCTGTAGACTTCATTGAGAAGAATGATGTTTATGAGGATAATGTATATAAACAAAGAAGCTGTTTGTGTTCTAAACTGTTTTGCTGAGGCAATGATTTTCAGCAAGACCCACTCTTGCCTTAGAGTCTTACATGGACTATGCTATGCAGCCATGTGTTACCCTGATTAAGCCACAGAGAAATTTCTGTGAAGAGTCCATGTTAGTGCAGCTTCCATAATCTATTTTGCGTTATTCTACAATGCCTGCATGATTTGTGCTATTCTGAACCTGTTTTGCATTATTGCTTCTAACTTTGCACCTATTTAGCAAAGTTCATGTTACAGTTACTCCCTATGTGATCATTACTTATTCTATAAAGGTCTTTATAGATCTGCAGAATTCATTTGGAACTGATCAGACACCTCCCTGATGGTATTGCTGATGGATAAGTATCCACCTTTACTTTCAGCATTGATTTGGCCATTAACTTAGACCAAATCCCCAATTCCTGGTGCAGAAATGGAGCCCTAAACTTGCAAGTAACCTTCAAGTGATTGTAAAGTATTTCTTTAATAACATCTTACCAGCTATGTACAATGGTTTTGCACAAAACTGTCTCAAACCTCCTCTTCTTTGGTCCCCTGCTTTTGCTCTCAGCTTCTCCTCTTCCTGGTGGTACCCCAGAGGAAGCTGCTTCCTATGGGGTACCACCTGCAGGCCCACTCCTGAACCATACTGCATGTATCCATAGACACAAACAGTGTGGCTTGGCCCCATTCCATTGTCACAGGATTTGACTGACAGCAGCGGGAGCCAATGGTTTAAAGCCTGTGGGAGTGGGAAGAGAAGACAGAGCCACTACAGATGGGCACAGCCTAGATCTAGTAAGGTAAGTAGGGGGGTGAGGGGGAGATTCTGTAACCGAAACATTTTTTTTTTACCTTAATGCAGGGAATGCATTAGAGTAAAAAATGTTTAAGCTTTAGAACCACTTTCTCCACGCTTCTCTGTTGTGTCCAGAATCATCCTTGTCCATATCTTATTGAACAAATTGCCTTCTGTTATAGTCAAATGCTGTGTTTAAAATTTGGATTAATCGGTGCAGAACACCTGCTGCCATTTTTCTGAACATTAGTTCTTGTTTCCACATCAGAGATATGGGCTTTAAGCTTAAGGTCTTCTATGAAGTCCACATCTGACCAGACTTCTCTGGGCTGCTGAAGAGTGTACAAGGGTCCCACTTATTTCTACTCAGCTTGTTTAATATTTAATCTGCTGCATTCATTTTCCTTGTCTGACAAATACATTGTTGCCAGTTCCCTAAGCTTCTGCAGAAGAGTTTGGAAAGCACATCTGGAAACATCTGTAAATGTATGCCAGTGAGATGCCTTGTTGATGCAATAACACCACCTCAAAGCAGAACTATGGGCAAAAATAAAAAAAAGGATTTATACGATACAGTATTTAATACCTGCATTGGTTCATCTGAGTATCTCTGTAACAAAACCAATCTAGGCACTAAAAGTGTGTTAACTCTATAACTGATCCAGTTGTAGTTAGATAGCTGTAACTTGCAGTCTCAACAGAATTAGCAGACACAGATTAGATTCAAATTACATTTTACAGATCAAAGAATGCAAAACTTATGTAGATCTTCACAGATGAACATCAGTTCAAAATATATTAGTATGATTAGCTCTAGAAATTACATGTTCTCAGGCCAGAACTTAAAGGCACACTGAAAGTAGGATGGGACTAGCTACATACAACATATCCTAGCTATAAAATGAAGAAGGGAAACAACTATTTAAAGGCAAATAACAATGTATGTTTAGCATGATAATACTTTTATTACATGTTGATCCTGCCAGTAAATATGTTATCTTTAAACTTTATTTTTTAATTTTCAAGGTGTCCAGCAAAAGTGACAGTTAGGAGCTTGAGATAAACCATTTAACAATAACAGATGTGCATACAATAGTCAGGTTGTATTAATTTAGTTTACACCTTTACCCAAAAAAGAAAAGAACTGTTTCTGTAACCATTATTAGTTTTAGCTAAAGGGTATCTTTAATTTGTTAGTCACTGTTTTTAAAGCCCATTTAAATCTACTAGTTCATCTAAAACTACTTTCTGCAAAGGTTGGCCTAGCTGGTGTCCAAGAAGGGCTACATTGCTGCTCCATAGATACACAGTAGAGGAGTGACTGAAGCCATTATAAGACAAAATGTGTGTTACTGGGTGCACTACCAAGTGAAGGTAAAAGAAAAAATAAAAATAAATGCAGCTACCACATCTAATGACTGGTATTTTGCAATATATAAAATGCATGAGTTTAGGTTTAGATATGCTTTCATTTGTTAGTAAAGCATGACTTTTCCTCAACATAGATAATTTTGTTTGATTTAATAATTGTATTTAACCTACATGTTATCTTGTTGATCAATAGTACCTGTTTGGTATAATTGTTTTTTTCAGTACATGAGCAGAAATAATTGTGCTATATTAGTACTTACTACTGACATGCCAGTAGACTGATTTCCAGCAAAGGCAGAGCAAAAAGGTTAACACAACATCAACTTTATACAAGTATCCACAGGTGAATATTGATTACACAGCAGCAATACACCTAAACCCCCCTGTAACACATTACAGTGTTTTTGTATTAAAGCAGGCTAAAATCTAAAGCTGATCGTTATCTTTTCTGGCAAAAAGAACAATTAAAAACAGGTTGTAGAGAAAAGCAAGTAGCTAATAGTATTATTTTTTTATATTGCTGAATTCTAAATATGAGCACATTCACCATTGTTTAGAGGCAAATTTCTAAAACATTTATCAGCACATTCACCATAAATTGTAGAGAAAATATTTGATTTATATATAAAGCCCATTTACTGCACAATTCCCTTGTATTTGCCAAGGCACAAATATATTTAACAATGCTTGACCACATACTGTATATATTCTTCACCCAATTTAAGCCAATGCAGTTTGCATTTTTTCCTTTTCTGCAGTGCTATTTGCAATGCATTTTTGCACACGTGTTCTGACGTTTTGCATTTTTTTATGCTTTTTTGGGACAACTTGTTGTTGGACAGATTATAAACACAAAATGCTGCAAAAACGCACTACATGTGTTTTCTGCAACGTCTCCATGGAAGTCTATTGAACCAAAAGCTGACCCTTTCCGAAAATGCAGCAGCTCAGAAATTCATTGATGTGAATGTGTCCCATACAAAACCATGTTAAATGGACTGTAGTGTGTTTCTGAAAAAAGCACAAAACAAATGTATTGGTGTGAACCAGGCCTTATAACAAGGCAAATTTTACATTTTCCACATAATAGCCATCTTAATTGTAAACCATGATGGGTTTTCAAATTGTTGCATGTGCCAATGAGAATGCAGTGATTGTCTTAATAATCTCTGCTGTAAATTTGAAGATACATTATTCCGCAGCTTGTACAGCTACAGGGGTCCACAAAGGCTTGTTTTAAAGTTAATTTATTATGTGTTAAGTTCGGCTAAAATGTCTCTGGTTAATCTGGCCTTGTAATAAATAATGCTACATGGGACAGAAATTGTGGAATATCTTCAACGGAAACCCATACAGCATAAAAAATAAAAATAAAATAATATTCTGTACTGTAGATAATAGATATAATCTCTTTCAGGTATTTATTAGTCTCTGTGTCCTCTTGCTGAGATTTCTTTTAACTTCTCTTACTGGCGACTCCAAAACAACAGGTAATTCTTCCCATGGCAATCCTGAACACAAAAAAAATATGACTACACTACATCAAAAAAATGAAAAGGAAAGGTTTTTACTATATTTCTAGTCTCAGAAGTGCAAAGACTGGATTCTTGCTAAAGTCACACCTTTATCCTGTAATTCCTACTTCTATTATATGTTTTTGCATTTGTACATACACCCATGCATGAAATCAACTTGATCTAAATTATGCTTTCATTGGATATTGATTTTTTTTCCTGCTAACAGAGGCCATGTGATTTTTGCTTAGGTGTTACATGATCCACACACATTTCCTGTGGGACTTTTAAAGTATGGAAACTAAATTCATCAAAATTAAAAGTACAACAATCTTCATTTAAAATATTCTTGAAGAACCATAAAATACATAGTTGCTGGTATACTGAGAAATACAATATGTCATAAGTAGAGATGAGCGAAGAAATGAAAAATTCGATTCGACTGATTCGGCGAATTCGTGGACAATATTCGATTCGAGTCGAATAAATTCGCTGTGAATTTAACTTAAAAAAGGGTGTTTCTAGGCTTCAGAGAGACTTAATATTAGTGCAGAACACTGTACCTTTAATTTAAATGCCTTGGAGTCTGCTGGGGAAGAGAAATAATACTGTCTGTCAGTATGACATGCAGATGAGTGCCGTCGATCTTAGAATCACTGCACACTTCACTCCTTTGGCCAGTCACGGGGGGCCAAAACCAGTGTTTGGAGCCACAGTGTGGCGGTGGAGTAGGCAGCAGCAATGGGAGGCCATACAGCAACCTATGACAAAATGGAAACCAGCAGGAGCGTGAGGAGACCTGAAAGTGGCACATGGCAGAGTGGGAGCAATGGGAGGCAGCGGTTACAGGGTGACCCAGGTCACACTGTGGGCCCAGCAGCAGCGTGTGACCAGGCGGTACGGGGGCCCATGTGGGCCGATATGGGGCTTGGTGGCACCTATGGAAAGGCCTGTAATCTGACAGCAACCTATGACAAAATGGACAACCGCAGGAGTGTGAGGAGATTTCAAAGTGGCACATGGCAGAGTGGAAGCAATGGGAGGCCGTACAGGGACCCAGGTCACCACTGTGGGCTCAGCAGCAGCGTGACCAGGAGGTACGGGGGCCCATGGTCGATATGGGGCCTGGCGGCACCTATGGAAGGCCGCTAATCTCTGCCAGCAACCTATGACAAAATGGAAAACCGCAGGAGTGTAAGGAGACCTCAAAGTGGCACATGGCAGGAGTGGAAGCAATGGGAGGCCGTACAGGGACCCAGGTCACACTGTGGGACCAGCAGCAGCGTGACCAGGAGGTACGGGGGGGGCCCATGGCCGATATGGGGCCTGGCGGGCACCTATGGAAGGCCGCTAATCTGCCAGCAACCTATGACAAAATGGAAAAACCGCAGAGAGTGTAAAGGAACCTCAAAGTGGCACATGGCAGAGTGGAAGCAATGGGGGAGGGCCGTACAGGGACCCAGGTCACACTGTGGGACCGTAGGCAGCAGCGTGACCAGGAGGTACGGGGGCCCATGGCCGATATGGGGCCTGGCGTAACCTATGGAAGGCCGCTAATCTGCCAGCACCCTATGACAAAATGGAACCCTGGGCTGGGGCAGGCAGAACCGCCGTATCTTTATCACGTTTTTCACAGGTTCCCAATCCGAATGGCGACGCTGCATATGCTGACGTGCAACGCTGTCGAGTCCCAACATGGGCCCCCTGGCCACGCTTGACTTTTCTAGGCTCACATAGTCGACATACGGCTACGTTTACTTCCTCGGGCGGCTTGACGAAAAACTTGCACACACCCGCCGAGTAGGAAACTTTGCACCCGCTACTCCTCACATGGCTGACTGCTACTTCCTCCGTGCACACCTAGGGCACCACTACTGGCGTGGGTGGTTAGGCTGCAGTGGAGCTGCTGCTCTACTCCG